GAGCCACCCTTGTTCCCTGGTGAAGGAATGGAGGGTGCACCCTGTGGGTATGGGATCTTCTTTTCTTCAGGGTCAACACTTACTGCCTTATATTGGTGCTGGAGGCCCTTTGTGGGCCATTTTGAACCCACTGGATCTGTGGATATGAAGTTTATTTCATACGAGACTGCATTGCTTCTTGCTTTTGCTTATGTAAAGGAAGTGGGTGACCTTATATTAAATTTTTTTATCTATATGGTACCAAATCAACTTCATGACTTATTTGTACATCCCTTGCATACAGTTCTCTTCTGAGGGTCTCAGGGTTGTATTGCACCCAAATGGCACATATTTACCAAAGGTTATTTCTGCAGCTTGTACCTTTATGTAATTTGAGCTTCTGAGGTGGCATTCTCTGGGTCTAGTGTGTTTGTGCTACATACCTATATTGACTGCGCTCAGGATGTGTGCTTATGTGACCAGTCGCTTTCTGTTTTGCTATCCAGCTAGAAGTAGAGCTCTGCCTAAACAAAGGCTCTCCCACTTGTTAATGGAAGCTATCTCCCTATAGTGTAGGGCACCAAATGTCTCTCTTTGCCTCAGGGAGTAGGAACACATTCCACCAGTGGAATGGCAACTTCATGGGTGCTTTATAAAAGGTTCCTTGTGAGTGTGCTATTTGTACTGCAGCTAGCTTATCATCACCACACACTTGTTTGGCTTTATTGTTGGGATGTTACAGCCCATTCAGTGGTTTATTCTGTCCTTTCTGCTGGTTCTACCATGTGGTGCTGGTCTGATTCCATGTGTTACGGATTCAAATATTGGGGATGGATACAAGAGGAAAACCAAAAATAACCACACTGGTCCGGCCGGGTCAAGTCAAACGATGATTTAATGAACACACGCGTGGGAGATGGACACCATACAGACAGCATCAGATCTCAAAATGGTGGAGCCTTGATCAAACTCTTATAGCCTCTAGTGGCCCCCACCTAATCATAAAAGCCTAAACATTCACATTCTTTCTCTCACACAGCGCCTAAGCTACGACCTTGGCTCCCTGTTTATCTGCTCCTGCTGAGATGGGGCAGTATGCTCTGTTCTCTTCTAACCAGACAAATAAGGCGATGACTTTCTGCAAACAGTATTTCTTATAACTCAGCAGTATAATGCATCATAAAACAATATCATTCATTCACAATAAATCAACAGTCTAATATAATGCAAATCAGTTTAACAAATGTAATAGTTATCACCTTCTTCTAATTCAGGACAATAATGCAAACTAAAACTACATAATAACTCACAATCTTTAATTAGGGGTCTAACATGGCATAAAATAATATTATAATCCGACACATGTATATATGTCCCATGCTTTATGTGTTGCACCAAGTTAATCGGCTGAAAGGAGACCAACAGTTGTGCCTATAACTCCTTCCCTGAAAGAGTTTGGCATGGTGATGAGCAGCTATCAAACTGAGGAATGACTGATGACGGGGGTATATGTGTAGGCAGGGCCACACATATGTTATTCCAGGTCATCTGCCTTAAAGGCATGAATATAGAGGTCTTCAGCCAGAACATGCAGGGGTGTGATATTCCATACTATGTGTTGTACCTTCTTCATCTCTTTTGATGAACAGAAGATATAACTGTTCATTTGCTTTGTCTGTAACTGTACTTAGACCCTTTCTAAGATGTCTTTGCTCCCGATTTAGTGAGTGAAACAATTTATTAATATGAATTAGCAGGCCTCATTGTCAATCGATATACCATGCTAGCAAAGCTAAACATTCAATAATGACTTAGCATTCCACCCTCTCAGCCAACTCCCCCCCCAAAAAACAAAACACTAAAATGCTAAAAATACGACTTTCAACCTGAAGTTAACAAAGAGGAGACACTTTGGTGATAAATTCCAACTTCAGTATAGTCAGTGTTTTTGCTAATTAGCAAATGCTAATCTGCTAGCACGACAAGCTAAAATAGCTAATAGTTATTGGATATAATTGCTTTTTAACCTTTAATCTCTAACTATTGTCTTTTCACTTGCAATAACACACTGGATACTACATGTCATTATGTGTTTGAACCAGTTAAAGTATAAAAAGTGTCTGCAAGAGCCAGATATCCAGCAAACTCATGTCCAAACAGAATGGGTCTTTATTCAGGAAGTGAAAGAAAGAAAAAGAGATTGTAATCAACACCCCATTTAAATACAAAAACAAAAATAAAATTAAACATGATATTCATTTTGCATATCAAAGAACCATTCAGTAATAATTACAATCCAAACATCTCATAAACGACTTTTGTGAAGCTATACACACAAACTCTGATTTAGAAATTAGTCACTTTAACAATAAAATTACAAATATTTAGCTTTAAAAATAATTAAACTCAAAATAATATTTTAGCAATTAGCATCTTTAAATTATATATAGTGTTTTTCACATAAAAATACAAAATAATACCAATGACATTTAAATATGAAAAATTATTCCAAGAACCTGCTACTATCAAATAAAATAAAATGTGGGAAAAAACAAGATGAAAAGAATAGAAATATGCATGAAAAAGTCTCTCCTTTTGTTAGCAAAACACTATCCAAAATAACTACAATCATTTACATCAGTACAAAGATATCTGGATTTAAAAATACTTGCAATGAAAAAACGGGGTATCTTTTTCTGACAGTAAAAAATGACACTGTGGATCAGAAATTTGCAAAATATGCAATGAAAAAAATAAATCTGCATTAAAAAGGTTTACACTGTAGTTCTTACTTTTATACAAACATTAGAAACAGTATTGCACATCACAACACAGATTCGAGGTTAGTCAGCCTTTCAAAATGTGTTATATTCAAGTTTCAGAGCATCTACGAGGACAGGCAGCTGGGGCCTCGATGCAACAGGGGAGAATCTCAAGTGTCTTCCCAGAATATAATAAAACCTTCATGTTTCCTTCCATTAAATCAAACGTGTCATGTGTATCAAAATAAGAATCAGCTGTATATCAAAAACTTTGATGTTACTAATGATGTGATTCTTTGTCAACCAAAACTTTTGGACATAATTAGGGGTAAATAAATCGAAATATCAGTCCTATTTAAATAGAAAAATACAATCAAAATCAACTCATTTTTTCGTCTACAAAAATAGTGAAATAAATATGATTTTTACAAAAGCAAGGACACATACAGAACCAAGTAACAGTGTTTAACATAGAAAATAGAAGCTCACAAAAACAGCACGAGTCAAGTGTTACAGGTGACGATATTCAAACATTATCAGACGCCATGAGAACCAAAGCCACGAGGAGGAAGAGGGGCCAGAGCGGGAGCCCGGTCTTTAGCTTTCACCTCCCATCAGGTTGCAGGCCGCGACGCCTTTCCGACTCCCGCTCCTCGTAACACCCGGACCATTTTAGAATATATTAGAAAACATTTGCTTTTTGCTCTACTCACACAAAAGATAGCTAACTTAAGACCACTGCTCCACGCTACACCTTAAATAAGTCATTATGGGGAAAAAATATGATAAATTCTACCTATAAATAGGTGAAAACTTTCATAATTCGCTTCTAAACAGAAGGGGTGAAGGAGACGGAAAACGAGCAGAGATACAGAAAAGTAGTGCATAATGTATATTATATATTAAGAAAAAATAAAAACATATTGAAGGGCCAGTGATGAGTAAATTGTTCACAAACAATTTCAATTACACAACTCAACTAGTCTCAGTTCCATTAAGGTTTTGTAACAGTACACAGTTGACGCCTGAACACTGATACCGAGGAGCACACACACAGGGGCATGAGACACTAAAACCACGACAACACGAGAGCGACACACTTGTACAGTACCAAACAGACGGCTGGGCGACCGTCCTCACAAAAAAGATTGTCCCTAAAGAGTTTTTCAAGGGTCGAGGAGGAAATTAAACAAACAATAAAAAGAAAAAGATCATCTTTAGCGAAGACCACGCGTCACTGTCTTCATCGTGGACAAGTGTGGTGAGGAGATGTGGAGATGCTTCATCTTCCGGTAACTGCGCCAGTGTTTCCTTGGATTTATGGAGCTGCAGCCACACAGCATGAAAGCCTGACTGTTACATTACAAAATAAGCAGTTTAGTGTGTTCGAACAATGCTCAATAATGCGACGCAGTCACACGGAGCACGCCAAACAGACAAAGTCTTTCATTTGCGTCTGGTCTGCCGGTGAAGCTACACCAGATTAGCCTTTGGAACCACACAAAGATATGGATAGGAAGAGTGAAGGTGGAGTCATTCTTCTCTACGAAATCTGTTGATAGCTAAACTAGAGCCTCAGTCTACACTAACAACAGTCACACAGCACATGGACGACACACAAACACAAACCACTGAACACCACTCTGCTTCTCAATGGCATTTTTTTGTTGTTTTTTTTTTGCTATATAAGCCACCACGTGACAACGTGATGGCATCCACTAAGTCTACAGTAGAACCAATATCACTTTTTGTATTGTTAGTATGTAAACAGATCAAACAACAGAGAAACATCAAAGCATGCAAGTTTAAATATGTTTTTTTTAACTCATTTATCTTAGTCTGATTTTTTTTTTTCCCTCTTAGGCATTTGTACTTGATGATCATGCTACTCATTATAGAATTGTTACGTCTTGTCTGCATTTATTATTTCAGTGGTTTGTTTTTTCCTGACATATATGCAGCATGCTATTTGTGTAGCTAAGCCTATTGTCATTATATGCACTCTTAAATCTTTCTATGGCAATGGGGGCCAGAAGTGTTCGAGTGCATACTGCATTTCGTTTTACATGATTCAGGTTTATAAATGGCATTAAATATAATACCTACACATCTATTCATATATATGTATATATAGCAGCAAAGCTTCTGAAATAGCTCGGTCAGTATAAATCTTGAATACAGTTGCAGAAAAGCAGATTTTGTATTTTGAGGTATCACTCTACGGGTCAGTATGAGCGCAAAAATAACCCTACTGTCATCTTTTTTTTTTTTTTTACATTTCAATAAACTCTCTAACAAGAAGAAAGAGCCCATGGCAAAGTAAAAAAAAAAAACAACGGTTTGCTTTGTGGCAGAAAATGTGTCAATTTTAAGCTTCCTATATTTTTTCTACCTTTGGTTAATGACCCGGGGCAGGCGTCAACATTATAGAATCGAGGTTTTCCCAGAAACAAGTGTGCACTGAACGCACCGTGGGGTGGCTAGCAGCAGACAGACAGACAAGCTGCCCCCATGCAAAAACATTCCCGTATCTACGTTAAATCTCACATACAAAAATAATGATAATAAAAAAAGCTACAAAAATCAATCTCTTTTTTTGTTTTTTAAATCTCCTCTTAGAAAAGATGAAAGTACCACAAAAGAGTTGTAGAGTTGTCAGAGCCTGAGATGTGCGGGGGGTTTTGGTGAAAAACTGAGGCTTGTGGTGTTTGGCTGCTACAAAAGATATATAGATATATAGTATATACTGTATAGTGTTATGTACTTGATTATACTGATAGCTTAGGAAGCAGGAGAGGCTGAGCGATGCTCTTTTTCCTGTTAGCCAGTGTTTAATTTCCCTTTCCCCTAACTGTGTTACCATGAAATTGGGGGTCGCAATCTCTAATTCCAGCGGAAGTGAATCTGGCGAGGGCGGTCGGCGCCTTCTTTAACCAGAGGCTTGTGAAACTCCCGTCCGGCACGGGAGTGGATGTTAGCCCAGCAGAACTCGCAGTAGTATTGAAGACAGGTGACGTTAGCACAGAAAAAAGGAGCAAATTTCCCTCCACAACGAGCACCCTGGCACTCATCACAGAGCTGATCATCCAGGACGTAGGGCTTCACCTCCACCTGCACGTTAACGAGACACAAATGTCAGCTGTAACGAAGCGCACAAGCTTAACGAAGCACAGGCAGAGAGAAAACCTAATTTAACCAGCCCTAACAAGCGTTTGCTCATCATAACAACAAGCCCCTTCTTCTCTGTAGGGATGCTGATAACACACAAAAAGATGCAAATGCACACACACTTGCACGCGCGAATGGCATGAATTACACATCACCATGACAACTGTGTCATATACCACGAATCCTACTGATTCCTAAAGTCTGAAAAGTTTAATTTACGGTAATAAAATATCTCTAAGCATTTTATTTGTGATCGTTAGTAAAATTTTGAGATTCTGCTTATAAATAAAATATTTAGTGAAATATGTATCATACTGTAGATTCCTACCATCTTTTGTTCCTTTATGGAATTAGTATGTTATCTTATGTTCTTGCATACAATGTCACAACCCACAAATGTGCAACATTAAAGCTAGAGAAGTCCAAGAATCAGACGATCCCCTGTGACCAAGCACTTGGAGACTGTAGGAAGCAAGAACTCCCAAACTTAGTTAAAAAAAGTTTGGTTGATTATGTCTACATTGTAACAACCTGTTTATTTCTCCTAAACGGTGCTACATTTCTAAGTAACATACATTTGAGGGTGGGGCAGCAGCGTTGAGACTGTGGGTTGTGCCCATGAAAATCTTCTCTGCCAATGCCAAACACCTTAATCTACTGAAGTTCGATTGGTTTCATTTATTCGAGTGAATGATTGCTGATTGTAGAATGGGTTGGTGTTTCCACATGCTACAGAGGCCTCTGTTTGTTAAACTAACACATTTTTAAATTGCCAACATGTTTTATTTCTTTAGTTTTCAATCATCCAATCCAATAAATGAGAAGAAACAAGAGTCAGTAGCAGAAAAAACTGTTTGCCATTGACAGATGCAAAATACCAGCAACACTGAACAGTGAAACAAAGTGCTTCACTGACCACTACACTGAGCACAGAGGTTTCTATAAACCAAATGACCACATTCATTTGATAGTTTGCTGCTTTTCTCGAGGTTTCAAAAACTGTTACATTTAATTACAAAAAATTCTGAAATCCTGATATACACTAAAAAGTCGAAGACGGGGAAAATATTGATGAAAGGAGGGTGGTCATACCCTCTTATCAATGTCAGCATGCTGCAGCTGGACGAATCTCGCGCTGATGGCAGCGATGTAACTCTGTTGGTTTGAGAAAGCCACTCGTCCTGCCCCCTTTGGGTACTTGAGCTCTGGATCTGTATCAATTCCTGCGTAGCACACTCCACCATAGAGGCGATCCATAATCATGGCCAACTCGACTAGTAAAGAAATGAACAGAGGACAAAAAGATGAATTTGAATATATGAAAAAACAGATAAAAGACTTGGATTTGAGAACAGAAGAGAAGCTATCAGAAGCGTATTTTTAGTCCAAGTTATCGATACACGCATAGCTTGAATTCATCTCTATTGAGATGCAATACTAGTCGTAGAGAAACAAGTTGGCTATATTTACTTGCTCTCAGAGGACGAGGGACGCCGCCCACAAAGATGGTCTTGCGGGGATCAAGAGGCTGAGATCCATCCATCACAAAATCGCTGTCGCTCAGGTTCCAAGGACGAATTTGCACCTGGTGTCAAAGTCAAACAAGATTAGATCACCTTTCCCCCCTATAAGAAAATTGTGGCCATGTAGCTTCTTTTCACAGCGAGCTGGTACTGCTGTGCCACAGAGTATATTTAAAAGATGGATATTGCTATATTTTCTGCTGCCTTAACCACATGTGCCTACAATCAAATCAGTCCCTCGCTCTGGCTGTTAAACACAATGACGTCATTTTAAGGTACTTCCATGTTGGCATCACTATTCAGACACAAAAGCTACACCCATCTTTTAAATTATTATTTAAGTGTTTAAAGATTTAAAAGCAATTTTTGAAAAACTCACAGGTTTGTCCTTGATGGTGGGGCTGGAGACACACAGGTAAAGCTTCCCATCCTCTTCCATACAGGCTTCAATCAGAGCCTGCACCGAGCTCTCTTCCTGGAAAAGCAGGAATGCATAGCCTAGGGAACGTATATAAAAAGCTTCATTGTACATGCATATAAGAACAAGAGAGGGAATAACAAAGGTGCTCACCTTGGTTTGTCACTATTCAAATGACATTCACTTATTTGCATCATATCATAATACCGTGCAGGCTCAATGTAAATACTGGTAACCAGCCAGAAATAAGTGAGCTTGATGCCTTTGCTAATACCTTTAGGCGGAAAGTAGGATTTACTCTCTGCTTTGTGTGGCCAGTCCACCACAAGGTGACCAAAGCGGCGGAAGCTTGAGGTTATTTCATCTAAGGGAATTTGACATGTGACACGTGAGTAGGGAGATAAATCATAGACTGGCAGTACAACACAATCATGAAATAATTTCTTTACTCACCTTCGTCTATGTCAGGAGGCAAACCTCCCACAAACACCTTACGAGAGAAGCGCTCGATGCGTTCCCCGTTTTGGTGAGGGTAACAGTTGGGAGAGCCAAGGACTCCTGGGACACCCTGGTTGCCATGGCCATCATCAAGGAGATTGTCATCAATAGGGAAGAGAGAGGAGCGGCCTGGTGGACAAAAAAAGGCAGGCAAGGCTACAGCAAATGTCAAGCATGCTATTAAACATTCACAAGCAGAAACCCTCACGAACATGTTTCCAATCCCAGTCACATGTCCTCTCCTTGAGGCAATGTTACATCTCTGCTATGACAGGGACGTACTGAGAGGAGAGGCTTTCTATAAAATAATGTTTCTGCTTTTATTGCACTTTATTGCTGAGTGGATGTGAGGCCAAGCACCAGCTTAAAGTGAGGATTACGTACAATTTGTTTTTTTTACAGATCCGAGACTGGGACACGCAATCATGTGTGCTCCACTCAGAGCAGCGTGGCAGATAAAGCGTGTGTGGAAAGGCAGGCCGAGTGGAGCGAAGCTGTTAACATAATGGCTAAGCACTATGGAGTCCCAAAGTGTTCAAATATATACCAGACGACACAAGTTATTTTAAAAGAATAAATAATGAATTAAGTTATTCATTAGGTAGCAAATATAAATGAAATGAGGGGATTTCTTTATCACATTCTTTGCATTATATTAGATAAAATGTGAATTATTGGACCAAAGTCTTTAGCCAGCAAAGGAAAGCAATCAAATTAATCTGATTCAACTAGCAGCTGCTTCTGTCAGAGCATAAGGACGGACGCAGCTTACGAGCCTAAAAAGTGAAGCCATCACAGAAGTGGCTTAAAAGTGGATTCTTTTTATGAGCCACCAGGGGGCGACTCGTGGTTGCAAAATCAAAAACAAACAAACAAAAAAACAACAACCCTCACTTCCCTTTATTTGTGGTCTCAGTAGAACACTTTCCTGGAGGATTTATGGGCTCAGCTGCTAGTTTAAGATCATATTGAAGAAAATATCAAGACCTTATTGTAAATTACATATTGATTATTCAGGATAACAATTTATCATTGACAAGTCGTTACCCTGTTAGCTTGCCATTTCACAGTCGAGCACATCTGGTTCAGAAACACCAAGATGCAGATGGTTAAAATACTGAGCTCGGAGGTCCATAACAGAACTTCTCAAACAAACAGGTGGTGTCGGGGTTTTGGAATAAAATCACTGTTATTATGAACATGAATGACATAATAATATTTTAGAAGATTAGTATATTTTAATAATTTATTATTTTTAGAAGCCAATGGGATGTTTTGGACTACAGGGTTTTGGACTTCTGCAGAAAATAAGCTCTGTGGGAAATAAAGGATCTCTTTAAAGGTTTGCGCGGCTCCTCGTTATAGGTGCCGAGTGATTTCAAGATAATCTTCACATATTCAATCAATTTTCACAGTTTTTTTTTTTTAAAGCGTGGATACATTTGGCAGAAGTAAAAACACATATTTTGAGGTATAAATAAGCTGCACCCTAGCAGCATGACTTCAGCCTCACTATCACTAACCTCCTTTGTTTGCTACCAAAACTTGAGATACAGTTTCAAAACTCAAAAGTGGGGAACAAAACGTGAAAATGTCTAAAGTTTGTGTAAAACACAGACCTTATTTTAAGCACACAGTCAAAAATCTATACAAAGTGCTACATGCTAACCTATTTTATTTATACTTTGGGTTTCCATAGAGCAGAGGCTATAAACACCACCAAACATGAAACCCTCACCTTGATGTATGTCTGGCTACTGAAACAACACATTTTTCTTTGTATATTTTTTAATAGTCAATCAGAAATTTGATGAGCAAAATTCTGTGTTCCCAAATTTAAAAGCAGAAAACAGTGAAGTCTCAGTCCAGACTTAAGGCCTCAGTTTGGTATCTATTTAAGCAGTAACACATGCCACAAGGAAAAAGCCACAAGTAAAGAGACACGCTAGAGAAAGCTGAATTTACCTCGACGCCTCCCATAGCTCCTGGCTGCATGTAGAAAAGTACAAGAGTGCAAGTTTCAGCTATGAAACATTTCTCAGAGGGCATTTGTAACTGTAGACTTTAATCTGCTGATCCAACCCAACCAGCTTTTATTCAAGTCACCGACTAATGAGCTAAACTGAAATACTTTTAAAAAAGGACTTAAATCCTCCTGAAACCCAAAACAAAAATTATTCTTTTTGCCAAACTTCCTAAATGCTGTGGCAAGGAAGCCTGAGGGGCTGCATCTGTCATATACTTGATGAAAGCAATACACAGAAAGTCCAGAAGTCTAAAAATGACATTTACACAAATGCTGTTATTTTGCACAAAAAGGTTTTAAATGCGATCAAAAACCAGAAAAAGGAAAACTGTTTAAAGGCCAAAGCCCTAAATATGCTCTGGCAGGGACAAGAAATCTAATTACACACAGCAGCATAGATGGCGTTGAAAAGGGGACAAAAACTATTTTCTGATTATTGAGTCTCAGGAGAAAATGGCAACAACCAGAACTTATTAAAAACACTCATAATTACTCCCAAATGTTGTCTGACCCCGATTTATGTCTCGCTAATACTGTTACAAAACACGGTTTTATTTTTTTGACAACTGGATGTGTCTCCAAATGTGAAGCTAAAAAATCCCCAAAAACACAGGGACTATTCAGGGCAACAATTATTCTAATTAACACAAGAAAATTTAATTGGAGGCAACCTGGAACAACCTTTGTCATTCAAGTACTACACAAAACGAGCACAGTAAATTTTCAGTTATACCACATAGCCACTTTAATGCCAACAAAACAGTTGAACAGCTGGTTTAAAAAAAAAAAAAACTGAACCCATTTAACGGGTACCGTCAGATATTCTGCAGCAGATGCAGCAGAGGTGACACTGCGTGGCCTTATTGCACCACAGTGAGTGTGTCTAATGAGGCTAAAGAATAATGGTGGGAGCATCATGAGAGCTGCAGACACAGGAGGATGGTGCTAGGAGATAATTACCATTGAGCATGAGTAGGCCGTCAGCCCCGGGGTTAGGGCATCCCACACGGCCTGATGTGAGAAACAGACACACACACGCAGAAAACACACACACACACAAATAGGAATGAGACAGAGCAGATGGAGAAGACAGGGCAAAGCCAATGCATGTACATGGGAATAACCACACAAAAATGCACGCACACACATAAACAGAAAAAACAACCGTCTTTTCACATGTCTAAGTTGAGCACAAACAGGAGCAAATGTTTTTTTGACCACGTACTGTTTCAGCTTTCCGACCAAACTACAGTGGAATTACTTGTTTTATTTAAGGCGATAACAATGTCCATTTAAAAAATAAATAAATACATTTTAATGCAAAGATCTAGCAAGTTCTGAGCTGAACAAGACAATTTCTCCCCTTTTTTTACATTCTGCTTTGGAAATGATTGAGGAAAAAAACACTTGTTATAGTAACGCAATTTCCCATCATATTTAGTTTTACAGTGGTTTCTCAATCGTACTAACGAATAACACCAAAATCACAAATACCAAATTCTAGATCACAGCATTCGTTGTGAAATGTCAGATAAATTAAGTCACTAATAAGATACAAATATATTAAAAATGTGTCACCTTATGAGAAGCTACATTTGGAGCCGTTATCCAGAATGCTGTGTTGTGTTAACCATGTCAGTGCTATAAATGGCAGAGCGGACCCCTGCAACCCCCCCCTTCCATCTCATCTCCTCTCTTAGCTGTCATATGCAGCGTGTGAAAGTGTGATCACATCTAAAATTAGAGTAGACCCCCCCAGCCCCCCACGCTTTGCTGTGCACACTGGCCCGTGTCCTCTCCATCTGCTCCGGCAGGAAAAACAAGAAACTCGCCCAAGGAAGGAGGGCGCAGGTTGAGTAATAATCTTGGCCAACTGCAAATGAGAAAATCCACACAGGAAATTTTATACGTGTTTGCAAACCTCAACTGTTTGTCTTTTAACCAGCGATGAGTTTTTTCTTCTTTGTAATATTTTAAAGTGAGAGTGTCTTTGGCTTGTCAGGCTGTAAAAGAGCTACGAGCGGCCGTCAGTAAGAGCTGTTATTTGACACTGCTCCTCTGATGTCCAGCAGCTGAGCACAGGAGGCCAGGACAGTGTCGCTCTACGGTAAATTCTCTGCTTGGTCCTGCCAAGAAGTGAGGAATAATTCAGCAGTTACAGAAATCCGTTAATATATTTTTAAGGTATAAAATACACATGCTTGACAGTTACAGATGTTTTCTGATATTAGTAAAGAAAAACGCCATGGTTTCTCTTTTTCCTGACCTCCAGCTCTGAGTCAGATCAGTGTGCTGTTCAGGTTAAGTAGGAACAGGATCAGAGCTGGAAGGTCATGTAAATGTGCAGCTGGTGGCACAAGTATTAAGCTCTCAGCAGGGAGAAAATAAGCTGGTGTGTGGAAAAACAGCACAGCTCTGGGAGCAATGGGCCTGTCACTTCCCTGCACGATGTCGGGTTGCCTCCGCGAACACGATCGCCTCCCTCTGACCCCACGAACTGAGACTGAAAGGGAAAGGCCAGCTTACCTTTCATCGGATCCTGCTCAGCTCGCATGATGTCAATCAGAGAGCTCTCCAGGGAGTGCATGTTCAGACTGTCGTACATCCTGGTGCGATCCTGAAAAAATACAGGTGACATTTCTTTTTTTTAATCATCCAGAGTTTGACAAAACAAACAAACGTCACAGTGCACGAATAAATCCTCACGTTTCTCACACACCTTCGGGATTTGGCTTATGAATAATAAAACCTTTGAAGCACAGGGTATTTGGCTTAACATGCACCTCACGCTCGGATTAACATTTTTTCCGTATTTATTCACTTCAGGAGTCTGAAGGTAAGTTTACAGGCAGCCTACACAACGGATTCCCCAAGCTCTCTGGACTGCTTCCAAGATGCAGACAGAGAGAGAAAATGGAAACTAAAACCAGGAGCGGCATTTCACAATAGAGCTGAGATGGAGGTTGGGAGTTTGTCAGCAGAACATTGAAGTTGATCATCTTATTATTCTAGCCAGAGTGCCAAGTCCACCATATAACACACAGCACAATGACAGGCTAATGTCCTAACTCTATGATAGTTAATAGCAGCATGTCGCTTCTGTGTAAGCAACAGTAGGCGACCGTGGCTCAAGAGTTGGGAGTTCGCCTTGTAATCGGAAGGTTGCCGGTTCGAGTCGCCGGCTTGGACAGTCTCGGTCGTTGTGTCCTTGGGCAAGACACTTCACCTACCGCCTGCTGGTGTTGGCCAGAAGGGTGCCGATGGCGCAATATGGCAGCCTCGCTTCTGTCAGTCTGCCCCAGGGCAGCTGTGGCTACAACTGTAGCTTGTCTCCACCAGTGTGTGAAGGAATGGGTGGATGACTGGGTGTGTAAAGCGCTTTGGGGTCCCTAGGCGGGACTAGTAAAAGCGCTATACAAATACAGGCCATTTACCATTTAACATCACAGTAATTCAGAAAATGATCACACGGTAACTGCTCAAAATACTATCAAAATGTTTTAAATTAAAATGCAATTGCATGCAACTTCTTGCATTTGTGTTGGTCAAGCTTCAACTTGAACTTCATTTCAGGTAAGGGAAGTCAAATTTCACAAGGACGGCTGATGATAAGCGACAACTGTGCTGGTGTAACCAGAAACAGTTTCCCTGCATTGTACTAGAGTGCACCGTCATGTGAAAACGTTCAGGTAGATGTAAAAACGTAGATTAGTTTGAGATCGAGGTTCACTTTAGCGCTCTGTTTCAAGTCTGGGGAGTGGATCAAATGAAGCAGGAGTGCTTGAGCGCTGCAGAGCTTCACAGTGAGACGATCCTGAAGGGGCCAAATTTAAAGTGAGTGTTTTTTGCTTTTTAATCGTTTTGGAACTTTTTGACCAAACCCTTTGTTTCACTGCTGCATTATAAGAATGATTAACAGGTCCACACTGGTCTTTATGTGGTATAAACCTGCCAACTTTAGAGATGAAGGACAGCGACTTTTGCCTGCTTCCTTGCCAAAAGGGACGGGTGGCCAAATTTCAGGCTGGATGCCTTAGCGGACGCAACCCCAAAGGGGATTTGTGTCTCCAGCTGGAATTGAACCAGGACCTTTTGCTTGCCAGCGGACCACTAGTTAATTTAAATTGGCTTAATTTTTTTAATATCCCTTTCCTTCACAGATTTTTCCATGTAAATATTCCAAGCTTGGAGAAATTTTGGTGATATTTCTGTCATCACATCAATACAGTGAATAGTGCAAGGGTTTTTTCTTTGAAGTGCTAAACAGCAACCTGTTTACTGTTGATCATTTAGTTTGAGTAATTTTCATGACAGGCCAAGGATTCTGGAGGGTTCTGTGTTAACAAGAAGACTGATGTAATGGGTGACAATGAGCAATGGGAAACCTGACGCTGCTGGATGATCTTTTTTCTTTAGCGTCATAGTATTTTAGGGTGATCACATCAGTTAATTGCAGGAAACTTGCGGCCTTTCTTAGAGAAACAACAAGTGACTAGCCCCACTAAAGGCTAACTGAAGGCAGAGGTGCTGTTCCTTTTGTCCCCAGTTTACCTCTGTCTTATGTTAAAAACATGACACAGCAGAGATACAGTCTGTCACTGACTGCCAAACATTAAACAGAGAGGAAGGAAGGAAAAGACTTGGAATCTGAAAAATTCCAGTAGTGACACTGTTTATGGAAATTAACAATCCATGCAGTCGCGTCTGTTTCCTGGAATAGGAAGCGCTGCACTTCTTGGCACTGATAATACTAATAATTTGAGCTCATAGCAACAGTCGTACCATTTGGTGACACCATTAATGAGGTGATATCATTAGATCGGTCTGAATGAGTCATGGCCATACCTGCATTAATCTTAGAATTGATTTATGCAGAAACCCTGAGAGGAGACTGGAGTAGCAGGCAAAGTCACTCATAATCTGAAAGGTTTTGTGGATTTGATTTTATATTAATTGTGTGTTGAGGTCCTTAAAGGCACATTTAAACTTTTAATCAATTGATGCACTTTGAGTGTCCAAGCTGTGCAGTTTTTAACATTAAAATGTCTCTTACACGAAGCCTATAACTGAATGATTTTATAGAAGAATTCAACAGCAACACTGAGCTCTTTCAATGCAAGTCGCACTGGAAATGATAAACTATGACAAAGAATGATATTAAACATGGAGTTTCAGGGAACACTGCCTCATAAATTTTCCTAAGAACCCAGTAATATCAATTCAAAACAAGTAAAACACTGTTCAAAGTGCCTGTATCCCAGGAGATTTTCTGAAGGCTGTGTTTCCTGACTATGACTCCATTTCTTTGCAGGCACGAGAATCGAAACATCAAATCACAATGCAAATTATGTTCTTTGAAAATAGCAACCAGTCTCACGGCACACGCAGACGTCTCTTTACACTTGGCAAAG